TTTGCTGTAGTGATCTTTGCCACCACAGACACAGGGACAGAGAAAAAGAAAGAAAGAAAGAAGGAGTGCAATGGAGAGTGGGAGAGAGACACAGTGACGAAACCACACATTGATATACACACACACATACAATTACACATAGAGAGGGCGGCGGAAGTTCTCTTGCACGACAATCATTTACGGATTTATCACAATGTTGCTAGTGGTGGTGTTTTGTATGTTAAATGCTTTCTCTTCATTTGTGTTGGTAATTTAGTTGGATGATATTGTGTGTTACTTTGTTATTTCTTAGATCCGTTTGAGGGGTTGAAATGTCATAATTCTTCCAGCAGATGGGAGGCCCACGAGCGGCATGATAGTTATCTCACGGCCTCAAATGAAGCATGTGAGGGCAGCTGCGGGTACTATGTCTGTGGTGGTAGGCATGAGCATTCCGTTGTATGTTGGTGAAGTGGACGCAGGTGTGCTTGTGTGTGTATATATTTGTGGGGGATTGTGGTTGTAGTTATTATTATCGTATGTTGGAGTTACGGTATTGGAATGAGATGACATGGTAACAGAGAGACAAAGTGACGAAACCACACATTGATATATACACACACACATACAATTACACATAGAGAGGGCGGCGGAAGTTCTCTTCCACGACAATCATTTACGGATTTATCACAATGTTGCTAGTGGTGGTGTTATGTATGTTAAATGCTGTCTCTTCATTTGTGTTGGTAAATTAGTTGGATGATATTGTGTGTTACGTGTTATTCTTTAAATCCGTTTGAGGGGTTGAAATGTCATAATTCTTCCAGCAGATGGGAGGCCCACGAGCGGCATGATAGTTATCTCACGGCCTCAAATGAAGCTTGTGAGGGCAGCTGCGGGTACTATGTCTGTGGTGGTAGGCATGAGCATTCCGTTGTATGTTGGTGAAGTGTATGTGTTTCTGTGGGTCTGAGGGTGAGAGAGTCTATTAGTAAACATCACGAGGTAATGTAAGTCTACCTAGTTATGGAAAAGATGAATTTTAAGAAAAAGAAGGAGAAAGAAAGAGTACGAATAGATCAAGTGTTTATGTCCAGGTTTGTGTTTTTTTTTAATGTTTCAAGGCTTGAATTGGTATTTTTATTTATTTATTTATTTATTGTGTTCTTTTTTTTTTTTTTAGAAAAGTAGAATGAAATAAAAAGGGGTTCATAAAGAAAATGTTAGATGTATCTTTGTTGTTGTTTTGTACACGAATAGACTTTCCCTCTTCCTCTCTTTCTCTTTTCTTCTCCATCAGTGGAGGTTTTTGTTTTAACTCATTGTTACTCGAGTATTCATATAATGTATATGTAATTGTATGTATGTGTTTCTGTTTATATATATATATATATATATATATATATATATATATATATATATATATATATACCTTCTTTTCTCTTGTGTTTGTGTTTTCGTTTATTCGTGGCGCTCCTTCACCTTCTGATTGAGTACACACATACCTGTTAAAATCGTCTGTTTTTCTTTCGTTGTGGTTGCATGGAAGTGTCTTCACTGCTACTGCTGCTGATGCTACCTTGATGAGATGCTGCATCGTCATCATCATCATCATCATTATCTTCATTATCATCATCATCATCGGAGTACAATTCCCCTTTAGCGGCTTTAATGAGACGAGCAAGAGATCCCCCACTGCTGATACTATCCATATCTGAAGATGCCTCTTCATTGTCGGAATCATCATGGTGTTTACGGTTACTGTTTGTGGTATCTTTACGGCGGATATCAGCAGAGACGCCACTTTCTTCAAGTGCGGTCTGTTTTGCAATCTTTCCATCACGCTGCAATCGTCGCAGTCGCCGCAGTCGTTTGGCACGATCGGCATCATCTGCTGATTTGCTTTGCATGCGCTGCCGCAACTGTGCCGCATAGTTTGCAATAGCATCTTCTTCCTCATCATTATCATCATTATCTGTAGTCTCTTCCTTTTCATCATCTCCATCTCTTGTTGTGGTGGTGGTAGATTTAGCAGAAGAGAGGTGGGTCTTCTCGTTGTTGTTGCTTGAGACGAGTTCATGTACTTCACCCTCCACATTCTTCTTCTTCTTATTCTTCTTCTTCTTCGCTGCTGCCGCATTGTGATCATCATCCTCATTATGATTCTTATTCTCCTCCTCCTCCTCCTCCTCATCATCATCATCATCATCTGCAAAGACGATGTGTTTACTTAACCCAAGATCCCGCACACGCAGATCGGCTGCCTCAATATACTTTCGCACCTTTCGCTTTGAAAGACCCGCCATACGCTCCTCAACGCTTAGTTGCATAGTCTTTTGATCTGAATTACCATCCTCATCTGTGCGTGGTCGCTTTACAAGGAAATCATCATCATCATCATCATCATCATCATCTTCATCGTTTTCCTTCTCTCCACGTTTCTTTGCCTTCCTTGTACGGTCATTATCAACTTCTTCCTCTCCACTGTGATGTTTATCTTCATCATCCTCATCCTTAGTGACGTAGCGTTGTTTTTGTTGAAGAGTACGGAACATATCGGAAGCGGCGAGATGTTTTTCCCGTCGTGTACATGGTTGTTGTGCCTGTTGTTTCTGATCACGATTTGCCATGTAGTTTACAATATCCCATGGGAGATTCTTTGCCCCTCGCCGTGTATTCTGCAGTTCAGTCATATCAGGTACCTTTAATAAACCAAGAGAATGGGCAAAAGGTCCTACATCAATGGCATTCATATCAAAAACAAGTTTATTGGAGGCAAAGTAAATGGAGCGAAGATAGGCAATAAACGCCTTCTGGGCTTCATACTTTAATCCTTGTACGACTAAGGCTACAAAGATCTCACGGGATTCCTGCAGCATGCCTGGACGAATCGCAATTTCCCGTAGTGGAATATGTTTATGAGCGAGAAATGAAAGCATTGGAGTTTCACGTGGAGTGAGAAAGAGTAAACTCACACCACGAGCCCCCGCACGGGCAGTTCGACCAGCACGATGAATATACGTTTGTGCACTATCTGGACAATCAAATTGTACAGACCAATGAACAAGTGGGAAATCCAATCCTCGAGCGGCGACATCTGTGCAGAAAAGTACAGCACTTTTGCAACGACAGAAAGTGAGAAAAACTTCTTCTCGACGGAATTGTTTCATCTTACTGGTAAGACACATACATGGAATACGCATCTTTTTAAGAATACGAGAGAAAGCAAGGTACATAAATCGTACCTGATTACATGTACTGACAAATACCACAACCTTATCATTTGGGTGTCTTTTTAAAAATAATAAAAGAGCATCCAATTTACGATGTGGCTCCAATATAATAAAGTTTTGACAAAGTGTAGCGGGTGTAGGAGCAGCAGTGGTGGCATGTGCCGTAACATACCGTGCATGTCGTAAAGACATTTGTGCTAACATACGAACATCTGTTGTTTGTGTAGCGGAGAAAAGTAATGTTTGTCGTTCTGTTGGGAGATGTTGTAAAAGTCGTAATAAGGCATCACGAAATCCCATATCCAGTAAACGATCCGCTTCATCCAATACCAACATCAGTACATTATCCGTAACGAGTTGAGCATCATCTTCCAAGTGATGTAAAACACGACCGGGTGTACCAATAATGATACAAATCGCCTGAAGTCGTTTACGTTCTTCTACAACATCACGACCACCTGTGAGTAAAGCCGCAGAGAAGACATGTTTATATCCCACTACTTGCAAAACTTTAAATATCTGCAAGGCAAGTTCACGGGTTGGACTTAATACAAGTGCACCAACACCAAGAGAGGCATCCCACTGTTCCACAAAGAGACGTTCCAGTAATGGGAGAACAAAACAGAGAGTTTTACCAGATCCTGTTTTCGCTGCGCCAAGCACATCATAACCGGCGAGAGCGAGATGTAAAGTGTCTGTTTGAATAGGCGTCATGCGGGAGTAACCACCACGTTCTAATCCAAGTTGTGTGCGTTGGGAGAGAGGAAGTTGATTGAAGTGTGTGTAGACAAGCTGTGGACCATCACCTTGTACTTCATCCTTCTTCACATTATTATTATTATTATTATTATTACTATTATTATTATTATTATTATTATTATTATTATTATTATTATTATTATTATTATTATTATTATTATTATTATCATCATGGTTAGTGAAAGAATGCTCTTCTTTGTCCAGAGATGTGCGGAGTTCTTCTCGTTTCTTCCGCAGCATATCAATCTCTGCACGACTTAATCGTGATCGTTCCTGCCGTTCCAACCATCGCTGGTGGTTTTTCTTACGTTTCTCCATTATTCGAGTGTTGTCCATTGCTTAAAAGAAAAAAAAAAAAGAATGGACTGGGAAAACCAAGAGAGAAACGAAAACAAAGAAACAAATAAATAAATAAAAGGAACTATTCACACACACACAAACCAGTGTCACCAATAATGCGCCTCCTATATACTCTTTTAAGAGAAATGCGCAAACGACTACTAAACGAGTAATACTACTGCTATTGGTGCTGATGCAGTTGCTCTCGCTTGGGCTATAATGATAATGGAAAGAAGATAAAGAAGAAGAAGCAGAAAAAAAAAAAAAAAGAATTATGTTTATTATGATGTAATAAAAATAACGCTCATCCAAGATAAAAAAAACAAAGAGAAAAAAAAAAAAA